CCTGCGGCCGGTGGCCGGCAGACGCCCCACCACCCACTTCATGTCGGCACTCCGCAGGCTTTTAGTCACGGTGCTTCCTTCGACTGCCCAGTGACCCAGTGACTGCCCACCCTTTCACCCTCGGGTGAAAGACTACCTGCCTGTTTGAACTTGGCAGTGATATGAAACTTGCTTTTGTAGGAAAACATGAGGAGAAGAAGTCTGGCAGGAACTACCTGTTCCTGTACTGATTTTATTAGTTATTTAGTCATAGTTGCTTGAGGGAACAATGGAAAATAGTCTCTAGAGGGGACTTGATTAGGTTGTTACTGACCCAGCTTTCCTGCAGGGGAACGCAGCAGCTTTTAAAGTGTAACATTTGTCATGAAAAGGCACTTCCGTGTTTCCGACAGGCTAGAAATACAGTTGTGCTCAAGTCATGTGCCATGCTGTTTAAAACATTTAGGGGTTGTAGCCTACTGAAAGACTCATTTATCCTTACCCAAGCACTTACTGAGTTTTGGAAAAGAACTGTACAGAGCTACTCAGCTTTATTTCCTTATGTTACTACTTATTTAACCTTAATCATTGTACTGTCCAGGAATGTTAGGTGATGTGACTGACATCTGTCAGATCTGTCTTATCTTTTCACTGAGAGTTGTGTTTGCTGTTTGTGGTGTGTTTTGTTGGGGTTTTTTTGTTTGTTTAGTTTTGGTTTGGTTTTTTTAAGTAGTGTGCTACTATATGATGTGGGGAAGACTATTGTTGAAGAAAGGTATCTTGCAGTAGAGATAGAAAATGGTGGGGTTTGTGGTGATTCTTAGTCGTCACTTATGTGGGCACTTCCTACTGATGATCCTGAAACTAAGTTTAAAGACTGTGACCTTGAATTTGTATCGTGTCTTATAAGAAGCTAAACACAAAATCAAAAGCAGATTTTATTTGAGTACAGTTACATTACAGTGTTACTGGAAAGAGAAAACCTCAATATTCCTCATTAGTGTCCTCAAAGCCAATAGTTATTCTACAAACTACAGCATTGCCTGTCTGGGCAACTATAATCCAATATAAATTAGTTGTCGTTTGGTGAAAGAAAGTCTCCTCAAAGCGTAGACTGGAGAAAGTTTCTCATTATTTCTGTCCTCTCTGAGAGTATGATGTCAGCAGGGCCGCAGAACCATTACGATTCTTTTGCATATGCCTTTCCATGTACAGCTTAAAGTGTTTTTTAAATCATCTAGCACAAATGATTTCTTACATCATTTGGTTGATCGTTGTTGTAAAGAACGAAAGTAAACTGTGGTTGACAGCCTGGTCCAGAGATACTAGAATGAATGTGTATCTGTCACCCATTCCTACCAAGTCATCCATCGCTGCTGTTGAAGTTGGTTCTGTACTTGGTCTTCCCATATGTCTGAGATTTAGAATACTTGTTTTAGCTGGAAGAGCATGGGGTTGGTATTTCGTTTGCTTCCTTGCACAGCTGCTGCTTGTGTTGGTCTATACCTGTGCTAACATTCAATTGGCTAGCTTGGGTACTAATACTGGTGTAGCTATGGTTAACACTGAGTGCACGGGAGCTGCAATCCCAACTGGAATCACGAATTAATATTAAGGCACCTATCCTGTGCAGACCTCTGCAGTTCCTCAGCTGCACTATTACCAGCATCTGCGTCAGCTAGTTTAAAACCAGTTAGTACATCTATGTGAGTTGTAGCCACAGCTGCAGTGTAGGTACTGATTTTGCTCAAGAATAGGAGGTTTTAACATGGTGAAGTTGTTCTAACAGCTGCTGGATTGATTGCACAGTAGCATATCTGAAGAAAAAAGGGAAGATACCTTCTGTGAACAAGGTTGTAGCCTGGGTCGAGAACTTTGTGTGTTTGAAGCTTCTTAGGAATTAAATGTATAGCACTTCATGACTTCTGTTTGTCTTGAAAGGGTTCAGTGGAGAAACATTCATGGAACCAAATCCACCTTAGTAGTTACTCCTAAGAATCTGACTCCCTGTGCAGACTTCTCACTGAGATAGTAAACTTACCATAGGAAAATAATTCTTTTATGAAGATAAAGTCATATTGCCCATGCTTTGTGAATATTCTAAGCATTTAAAGGAAGGACTGAGTAGTTTCTGCAGTTTTACATGAGAATTTATTCACTGAAGTCTTGCAAGTATTGAACCATTTTTATTTGTCATGTTTCCCCTAAAAGGGTTCTCTAGTCTGTGAAAGTATTGTCTTATCTATAGGATTTTACTGTAATACACTCATGTAAAATGTTTTGGAGGAAGAAAACCCTCTTGTGATAATTGAAGTTATCTTCAATAACTGTAGTGTACATATTTGAAAGGCCATTCACATATTTTCCTTGAAATTTCAGTGCAAGCTTGTGTTTCACATTCATCTGGCAGTTTGTGTTTCACTGTAACATTAATACAAGTTCTGTAAAATTTGTTTTGAATAAAGTGATGTCTGCTACTGCTGTTCTGTAGTTTCAGTGCAATTGCACTTTTCCTGCACTGTAAATGAAGATTCATTCCTTGAAAGGGGAGTAGTATATGTTTTGATTTGGGTAGCTCTTGTAAGATGAAGTTGTTTCAAAGTTGACACTGATTTCTTTCTTTCTTTTTTTTTTCCAGAAAGTGGATCATTATTGCAGTTGATTTTTGATGGGAAATACGAGGCAATATTTTCAAATTCAGTCATCCAGAATGTTTTCAGTGCATCTTCTGTGACAGAGGAGAACATTGACAGTTACTTGGAGAAACAGATTCTGGCATACCTGGACCTTTCTGCAGAGGTTGATAACTTGGAAAGGTGGAAATTATTGTTTATTATATGGAAGATTAATAGAGGCTATGTTTGATTTTTACAAAAGGCATTTTTTTATTTTATAACATGTGACATAGCGCCTCCAGAATTCTTGTTCTGACAAGATTTCTCGGGTTGTTCCCCTCACTCCCCTAGGGCATCTATTCATTATCATTGTTTCTTTCACTGGGTAGTATTGTGACATGAGGGTTTGTTGAAAACACTAGCTTTATTTACAGTGATTAGCTCTGAAGCTGCTGGTAAAGAAGTCAACAAATGTAAATTCATGTTGCCATGTATCATCAAACAATTTATTAACAGTTTTCTCTCTGAAACATTGTATTACATTTATGTGACTACTTGAAGTACCATGTAATGTTACTGTCTGAGCAATGCCTGTATTTCTAAGTCTGATTCGTAGTAAGTTTGTTCTACTCTTCTTAATATAAAATGAGTAAGGTATTACTCATGGATGCTGTTCATCAATTAATTATTTTCTTCACAAGACTTTCTCTGATAGATTCTCTCTAATTGTGCTGCATATGCTAATTCTTGCTGTTAATGAGTCTGACTTTAGTGTTTGCAGTTTGCTACGCAAATAATGAACAGACTGAAATCTATCACGCTAGGGATAGTAGAAGCAGAAAACTATATATATATGTGTGTGTATGTGTGTATATATATTTGTTTATTTTAAAAGGTGAGGGTGGGAAAAAGTTTTGCTGAAAGAAGAGCAAAAGCTAAGAGAACATAAAGGTAAAAAGAAAGTATGAGGAAGGTAATGTATTGCCAATAAGTGTACAGGCTGAGTACAAATGCCTGTGTTATGGTATGACAGACCTAAAACCAAGAGTTTTTGCTAAAATACCAGAGAGAAAATAGTTGGCACCTCTAAAGTATTGAGCTGAGATTTGTTAGTGATCATTGTGTGTCAAAAGCTTATCTTCTAGTGTGGTACACAATACTATGTGCTCCTGTTTTCTGAGTTAGAATGTTCAGGGGTTGTTCCCATGTGGTTTTGTCTCTATGTGGTTTTTTCTTTTTTTTTTTTCCCTTTCTTACTTTGTTGTGCTGTTGCTGTTAAGTATTAGCTGGAGTTTAGATGGTAACATAGTCTAGATAAATTTTTCAATATTGCTAGATTCTATCATCCTGCAATAGTTTATTCTGAATAATGCAGCAAGGAAAGAAAGATCAGTCAGGGCTTGTAACAGACCCAATCCTGTTCGTAAACATTGCTTGAAATGTATGTTGCTGCTTGAAATATGTGTTGCTGCCCTTATGAACCATTTAGCTTCTTAAAGATAATCATAATATATATCATGCACCTAGTAATACTTTATATCCTGTCATGGTGATGTGTCCTTTTCTCCTGCTCCCCCTGTGAGCTTTTATTGGCCTATACACCGTTTAGAGGACTCTGCTGCTGTTGTCCTACTGCAGACAGCAAAGCAATTTTTTCCTCAGGTGCTCATACTCCAGCTCTTTGGTCTTTGAGGTTTTTCTTGTTCCCTCTGCAACTGTAGGCAGCATTAGAAGCCCCCTTGCCAGAAGATAAGGAGGCAGATCTGCAATATTTAGCCTTTCAGAAGAAGACAGAAGGTTTTCTGCCCAAAATTACAGCCTGGAGTTTTATTCAAAATGAAAGTGTGTAGTCTTCAAAATATATCAGTATCTGCCAGAAACATTTTCTGCTTGTAGCAGTCAAGTGAATTTTTGAAGCTCCATTGGTAAGAATATAAGAAGCTTTGAATGATATTAGTGCTGAAGGAAGTAAGTTGTGACTTTCTCTTCATAGAAAAACTTTTACTGAAAGACAGAGCGTTTCCTACTTTAGGTAGGCACTGCTTATAGCACTTATATCTGTGCCATGTTTGTTTTTCTCCAGTGACTTTCTAGGTTAAAATGTGTTACATTTTTCCTACCTGCAGGCCCTATGCCCTGTGACTACCTTATGGAAGGAATTAATGCAACTTTTGCACTCTGACCTTCTATTGCCTGTGGTGAAAACGTTTTTGTCTGTTTTATTTTTATGATGAAAAGGTCATTTTCTTTTTCTGCTGAGTGATTCAAAGAAGTGCAGCAAACTTCTAAGTTCTAGCTCAGAAGAATCAAGAAGACACTGGTTTTCTTGTGACTTCTGGTAGATGGGCTTATTCAAATATATGCTTTTTTTTTCTCCTGAACTGGAAGTTGTAATTCTGGAGATTAAAAAAAATCAATGGGAGTTGAATTCAATTGGAAACAGAAGGTTGGATAATGTTGATGTTACTCTTTTCGCACAACATAAACACAGTACAAAGTATGGTTTTATAATAGTGTTAAAAGAACTCTTAAGGAGTCCTTTTTCTGAAGCTAAAACTGAGCAGCTGGAGGGCAAAACAGCTCAAAATTTGGATCTAGACTATAATTTCTTTGGACATAGCCTGTAACTTTTTCCACTTTCAAATCTATGGTTCTGTAAGGAAAATATTTAACAGTATTTTAAAATTTTCTGCCACTTTTTCTATCATATTAACTGCTTCCCTCCTTCCCCTGCCCCAGACATTTTTTTGCTATGGCACTTTGAACCTTTATGGCATTAAAAATGAAGTCTCAAAGCATTCCTTGCGTATTGAATAGGAGGTTTTTTTTATTATTTCTTTTCCTGCTATTGCTACTCATTTCAATGGTTACCAGTTATCTTCATAGCTGTATTTTAAATCAGCAAATTGCAAAGGATGAAGCAATAGTGTATGTGTTAACCATGTAGAGGGGGAATGCCTTTTTATTTTTTCCTGAGCTCCATGTGAAGGAGGTGCATTCATTGCCTGATATACAGTTTGATTCTAACCACTGGAAGGAAATAGTGTGCAGGACACAACAAAAAGAGAATATTTTCAGAGACGTTGTTTCAGAAGAGCTTGAAGGACTCATATTATGTTTGATTCCAAAACCTAAAGGAACAAGAAAATGAGCGCTAGCACTTGTTTTTGTGTTTACTACTTTTACCTTATTCAACATCTAAATGAATACCCAACTTTCCAAAACAAATCCATACAATAAAGCTTGTTATGATTTCCCAACTTGAATGCTGAATGGTATTTCTGGTATTTCTCTTGGGGCATCTGATGATTGGTTAACTGGTGTGCTATATGTAAAACAAAAATGAAGAAATTCTTGCTGTTTCTGCAGCTTGCTTTGATCCATATGAATTGAAAAAAAAAAAAACTATTCCGTTTCTAATTTTGCTTTGACTTCTCTTCTGTAATTTCTGACTTCACTAAAAAGAAAAGAAACACTCCCAAAACCTGTAACCTAATCACATCTTAAGCATAGCTTGGCTATTGGGTATTTTCTTACTTTTATATTTTGTTTGTAAATTCTAGCGTTATATGCAAATCCATTCTTTTTTCAAATACAAATGTTCTTTTATTCTTTATTTTGACTTTGAGCAAGATTAGGTATAGCAGTATGAATATTACAGTGGAGCGTATATAAGCATCTGATTTTACATCATGGATCACAATCCTACTGGACCTGGTGTAAACAGCGTTTAAAAAAAAAGGCAGCAAAATTCCCATTCACATAGAGAAAGGAAGAACAAGATAAATGGATACAGACGTATGTCTAAGGAAATATAAGAAATAAATTAAACTATGTAGGTCACCATAGTAAGTGGGACATTTGCAGCTGTTGCTTTTCAGGCAGCCTTTGGGAGGTGAGCATTTGCAGGTCTGCATTGTTAATGTGAAGGGCAGTCAGGGAGACAATGAATTTTTTTCTTGGAAAAAAAATTAGGAGATAGGCAAGGGAGGCTAGCATTTGCAGGGATTAGAGCTTGGAATTGACTTTCTGATACAGAGTGAGTGATAAGGAGACTGGAAGTTGGTCATGGATCTGAAAATGGGGGAAAAAAGTCAATTGGTGATGACAGATTAGCCAGTGGAAAGACAGTATCCCAGCCAAAGTCATGGGACTGGTTATCAGTTGTTTCAGAGGCCTTCTGCGTGGATATAACTGTGTAAAGACTTCAAGCAAGTTTGCCTGCCAGATAGATAGATGTCAGTAATGTTAAAATAAATAAATACAAAATTATTAGTAGAAATAATAGTGTAAATGATAAAATAGTGAAAATGAGTCTTTGAAAGACTGAAGTGCATCTGTCAAATCACGGTGCAGAGATGGTTGATTATTCTGTATGTTATCTTTCCTTTCAGAAGCTTTGAAGCATAATTTATCATGGGAAAATAATTAGAAAATGTATGTCTGCAGTTGTTTTGTGTGTAATGGTAATAATTTAGTGTACAGTAATTGTTAGTGCTTTATGTTCTTGAGTTATTTGGAAGTTTAGTGGTAGTCTTAGATACGTACTCAAATAATATTTGCTGGTGGATAGTTACTGGCTGAATAATGACAGCTAGTAAATGTTATCTTGTCTTGTTTGACAAGAACTCTTTACACTAGTCCTGTTCTCTAACTCTCCTGAAGGCTCTATTCATTTTTTTTTTCTTCAATCAAGCGTTCCCCACCCCTGTTTTCTCATTGTTCTACATCTTTTGTCACATTCTTGCCCACCAGCTGCTTGTTTGTGTGTGACTTTTCTATTTGACTTTGCTTTTTTAGGGGTTGGATAACACTTTATCCTTTTGTTTCCATTTGGAGGACTCTTGCATCTTTAAGTCCCTGTTTTAAGAGGAAAAAAAAAACAAACCAACCAAACAAACAAAAAACCACCTAGGTTTTTCCAATTCAGTTATGCTCCTTAACATACCAATTTTTATATCAAACCAACACAATTAAAATGTTAACTTTTTGTAGGCAGGAGGCATATTACATATGTGACAGGGCCCGAGTTAGCACATGACTGATTATAACACAATAAGGTTCTAAGTCATTAAGGAATCAGAAAACAAACCAGAAGTTTGTGTAAATCTCCTAAAAGTATACCCCTGTTAAATTGAACATTAAGTTCTGAAGGATTGTGCCCTGCCTTCTGCAGACCACATAGATTATTTGTTACTGTAGGTGCATAAAGAAATAGTATCATAATGATGTTAGATGAGTTTAGTCTTATAAATAAGGAAAATTTTTACCCTATTTAGTTTCAGGAATGAAAGAGTCTCATAATTCCATCTTTAAATAAAATATTATGATTTAAATTAAAATGCTTGATTGAATGGGATAACATTTGTGGCCAAAGTGTCTGAACCAACTTGGAGGTGACAATTTTGAACTTTTTTGATGTTAATTTAATTGTTTTATTACCAGAGGGAATGAAAATAAACAGCTATGTCAAAACAAAAATAAACATGCTATTTTGGAACATATGCTAATGCAGTATCTTTTCCCTGAAAATGCTGAGGATTAGATGTGTTGTAAGAAAATATAACAACCATGCAATAGGCAAATATGGGATAATCCGCATCTATGCTAATCTCCTTCTGATCTCTGATACAGCCTTGAATTTTGAAACATATGAACTAACTCTGCTTCCAAAATGTTTGTCATTAATTACAACCATTGTAAACAAACGTATTTCCAAGCCTTTTTGTTCCCCATGTGCATTCTTGAATACTACATTCATTATATTTTCCTAACAAGAGTGGTTGTTTGTTGTTTTTTTTTTTTTAAGGATGAGGAGTTTGAATTAGTACAAGAACTAGTCAGATCTTTTAGCCTTAATTAAAAATGTAATATGTTGCTAATTGCTTTTCTTACCTATATTACAGGCAGCGACTGATATTTCTACTTGGTGTGGGCAGTTTGCAGCTCTTCGTTCAAAGCAATTGGACTGGGCCTCGTCTTCAATTAAAGCTTCAGGACTTTTTGCCACCTGCATTGTTACAGAAATTCTGTGAGGTATACGTGGATTTTATTAAGCTGTCCTTTTATTGTCGCTGCTTTTCGCAAATAACTAACACATAAATGTGTCAGAGAACCGTAACTCATAAATGTGCCATCTGTGAGGCGCAGTGCTAGAATGAATGGCCTTGATCGTTGGTCCTACTGGCTGCTATTGCAAGCGTCTTCAGCTGTATCAGTTTGATAAGCAGTGTCATAAAAGTAGTTACTTTGTTTATCTACTTAAGAGATTTCCTGCTGGAGATGCTGGTTTTGGATGGGGAAGATGTGTTTATTATGTGGGAGCATTTACTCAAAGGGCATTTGCAGTCAATAAACTATTTATTTATTTTGGGACGTGTTCTTAGCTGGATCAAAGAAAGGTATTTATAAATGGCTTAGAAATTTTCCCTCCTTAGGGTAAGGTAGAAGCTGCGTATCTTGCAAATAGCAGAATATCTGGCAGATAATAAGAGAACAGTAGATTTGGATGCTCAGTACCGTGTTAGGCTCATGGATGATGCCAAGTGAATTGTTGTAGTATTAGTACAAAAATGCTAAGTCAAATAGAGCTTTTGGAAGAGGAGGGGAATGTAGGAGATGAAATTGAGGACTGTCAGTTTTATTTACTTTGGCATCTTTTTATGTAAATAACTAATCAACACCATAACTTCTTTTTAGTGAGATGCATATATTGTTTCTCATGGCAGAACCATGCTCCATCTTGTGACTCTCCTGCACCTATGGTTCAGCACAGGTTTTTGAGCACTAATTTTTCTCTTGGAATTAAAGCTACGGTAAAATACTGATTACTGCAGCGTGTCAGAGAAGTACATATCACTAGTCTCTGCTAATACTAAATCTATACAAGAATTTGAATTTAGAATTTCACTGTGAATAAGGTACGGACCATGAGCAATGTAAATGCTGTGAACTGTGGAATGAGGGGAAGTTTGAGTACATGAAAAGTTTCACATAAAACCGTCAGATCTATGTTGCATTATTGTGGCATATTTTTGCAAGAATTCTATAATTCGTGAAGTCCTGCCCTAGGTTTTGTTTGCAAGGTTGTATTTCTAAATAACTGATTCAGATACAGTATCTCTCCCCTTTTTTTAAATAGATGTTTATCAGTTTAGTTTTATCTTTTAGAGCTGACATGGTGTGTATATAGGCTTTTTTTTTTTGCTTGATTTCTGATACTAGAAATTCAAATCTCATCTTCTGATGACTAAATAAGTAACAGTGGAAACCAAGTGTACTAAACCTTCTAGGGTGCGAAATGAGTTAGCAGAAATTTTAAAGTATGCTATTTCTGAGGGTAAAAGTTCAATTTGCCTTTATATATAATAAAAAAAGACATACAAACTCATTTCTTCCATTCTCCTTATAATTTGTTTATAATCTTTAAGATTATAGTATTAAAATATTCTTATAATTATGTTTACTGAAGAACTCTAATATTCTGTGTTAGTGTATCTGTGCAGGCTGCAGCCTAACACAGAGGCTGCAGCCCAAGATGATAGTCATAGAACTGCTGTCACTGAGAGAGTTCACAGACATGTAAAACACAATGTTCATGATTTCTATTAACCATCCCATTTATTGTCTGTCTTAATGGAAGAATGAGATACTAATTGCCTGTTGAATAAGGGAATACATGTCTCCTGTTTAGTTTCTGTTATGTTTCTGCTGTGGCTGTGAGTGTAATGCATTGAAAGATGTTTGCTTACGCAGAGGTGGTATTCCAGAAACTAAATTAGCAAGAAATTATAAAGGAAAACAGACTTGAGCATACTTGATTTCTAATGAGTACTGCATCAGACTTGATATTGCTGCAAGCTTTAGCTATTTATTCATTCAGGCAGAAGAATTTTACCTTTATTTATATTACTGCTGTCTATATTATCTTCTTCTGAAATGCTAGTGGTTTTTTTTCCAAGAGCACTAAACGTTTATGTGCTAATATATAATATCCAGTTCTTTTCTTTATTAAATGTCTTAATTCAAAAGCTTTTGTATGTTTTGAATTATCTTTATGTACTTGCTTTTTTTTCCAAGGATTGTTAGTATATAAACATTCTGTAAAAATGAACATCTTGATAAACTGACATTTTTGTGCTTCCATTAATTCTTCTCTTGCATACACAGGTATTTAGGAGAAGTGGGTTAATAAAATAGCTGTAATTTTCTGCATCTGTTGTAATCTTCCATATTCCGTCATCAAGACTGACACAATCCCGTTTTAAATAGACCTTCCGTTTTTCAGGTTTTCAGACTAAAATGATCTTTTCCCATGTCAAGGTTAAAAAATTGTCTTCATGTTTCTTTTAGCCTGCTCTAAGTAATATCACTAACTTTCAGCCTTACAATGTCTCATTTATTTCAGGAATATTTTTAAAACTGTTATTCTATTTTCAGAACACTTTATTGGATTAGTCTTAACTTTATGCTTTCAGGCCATATAACTGCTGCCATTTCTATCCTTTGAAAGTTTCACCTCTGGGTCAGTGGTATAGTTTCATTTCTGCTCCCAGATAACTTCAGAATGCATCATTAATTTCTTGTGAGTGCATTAAGACTGCATGAGACTATAATTAATTTCAGTGAAGAACAAATAAAATAGCTTCTTTTAGATGAGTTGCTGGTTGAGGCCTCTTGGATGTCTTCCATGAACAATATTCATGAGTATGTGTACCTTATTTCCCATCCCCCAAATTGATTCCAGCCTTCTCTGTAAATTAGTTACATTCATGTACTCTATTAGGATTTCTTTTTATGTCCTGCAGAACTGGCTTGTGCTTTTCTCTTTTGAGTCTACACATATAAGTAGTTCAGTAATTGCTAAACAGAAACCGGCTAGCATTTTAGTTATTAGGTGCCTTTCGGTTTTCTAAAATAACTTTGAAACTTTACAACACCGATTAAATAGTTTGACTGATGCTACCTTGAGTTAATAAGTGAATTGCATTGAAGGAAGATTTTAAAAGTACTGGATTTCAGTTAAAATGGATTAGCAGCTCTGGCTTTGAACTTGCTGGGATTAGACTAAAACATTTTTAATGAGCTAAGTGCTTATTATAAGTGGGATATAGTAATAAGCTCTTTGCGTCTTAAAGAACTGTCACTGTCTGTCTGTATGTGAGGGAATAGAAGGTACAGAACTGTTGAAGTTGAAGCATGTTTATCCTGCCTTAAGTTTCAGAGTTTCTAAGTATTAGCACATACAATTGAGTTTAGTATTTTCAGTAGATGAACTGGACAAAACTGTGTAGTAGGACTAATTAAGACCACAGATGACTGTAAGAATGTTGTGAGGACAAGCTGCTTTATTTGTTTGTTGTCTGAGTTCATATTCACAAGTAGGATATATCTGGTAATGGTGAGAAGCTCCATCTGGAAGAAGATCCCAATGTGTTAATTGATAATACATGTAAATAACTGGTAGGAATGCTCCAAACACATATATCGACAGCTCTTGCTGGCCTTTTTGTAACTTCCAGGCTGATTCCAAATAATGAGTTTTGGAATGTGTTTGAATAATTCTTTTTCCTTATACTTGTATTACTAATTCTTTTATGCATTATTTGATCCTTTTGCTGGAAGTATCCTTTGATATTGATAGCCATGTTCCTAATTCATATGAAAAACACCAATGTACTATGTAGTACTACTGTTTCAAATCTGATATGATTCCTTAGCCTTGTTAATTCAATCTATTGGGAATTCCTCTTTTCTTCCAGACCCAGATGCTTGGCTTCCATTAGGATAAACTAGCCAGAAAGAAGAAAGAGTTGAATTTTAGACTGACTAATGTGCTGTTTGAATACCAGTGACCAGCAAGATACAGGCTTTGAAGATTTTGCAAATTTCTCCCTCTTGTGGGGAATATAAGGAGGGATGATAAAGGCTGAATGTGGAGGCAGAGTCTTGTAAGCAGAGATAATCTGCTAAAGTAGCCTACAGTCTTGCCCTACATTCCCTTGCTATGAATGTAGAAAAGAAGGGAGATTCTTAACGCAGCCACTTGGAAAATACTCCTTTAAAAATGGAGCAAAGTTACCCTCATAGGGAATATAAACAAAAGCATTCACAACTAAGTACTTCTACTACATGTAGCACTCTCAGGGAAGACTTACTTATGCTAGCTCACCTTTATTATCTTCAGTCTGCATGGGCTACCTGTTGCTGGCTTGGATCACGAAACTGGAAACAGCCTCCACTGTAATCTTACCTCCTTTGCAGAAAGTTGGAGAGAGAAGCAGTTAGAAACAAAACCAATTTTTCCATCCCCTAAAGTCTAGAGTAAAGAGTGAATTCTGTTCCAGAGGACCAAATCTTTGGCTGGTAACCTCAGCACATCCTCCATTATTCTGGAAGATATATCACCTTAGCTTTGCCAAATGACAAATTATTGCGCAGTAGTCTTTGTACTGTTTAAAATCTGAGAAGCCCAGTATATAAGGCTTAGTAGCCACATACAGATTCCTTATTTGATAAGTTTGTTTGTTTCTCCCCCCCTCCTCTCCATTTTTTAATTAATTCTTCCCAAGGCTTCAGTCTGGCTTTTTCTACTTCTGCGTATGTCTGCACTTACCTTTTTAAGATTTAGGGTGAAGATCCCCAAGACTGAGAAAGAGCTGATGAAACATTAGGAAGGCCAGTTCAGAGCAGTCCCTTATACAAAAGTAAAAGCATATCAAATGCTCACTTTGCCTCTAGTCATTATCATTAGCAAGAAAAAACCATGAAGCCTCTATACTAAAATTCTCATACCTTCTATTCTCAGAGCTATTGAATGTGAATGGCAGAAGGTTTTTTTCGGATTATTATCATCGTTACTCAGGTGGTAAGAGTTGTGCTAGGAAATACTTTTGAAATACTGTGAAATAGCCAAAAGTACTGCCCAGCTTGCAGTTGATTTAGGGCTTTAGTAGTAGTTACTTAACAGTAGCCATTAACTTACTGTTTAGAGGTTGAATACATAACCAGCTGTGTTTCAGAGATTAAAAAACATGTATTTAAGAGTGAATTGAGCTTCATTTGTCTGTATTTAGTCCAGAGTTGGTCGAACAGAACCCCCTGCAGGTCCAACAGAAACTGGATGATTAGCTCAGAGATTTCTCAGCATATGTGCATGAAGTAATTGTCTAGTATATGTTTCTGTGCTTTAAGAAAATTATTCCTGAATAAAATAATTACACGTCTTGATGGCAAGTCTGGTAAAGAATGGAAAGACTCAACACTCTAACCCAGGTTTCCTAGGTCAGGGACATTGTGTTAGCAAGTCTTGGGTTGTGGCCATTTTGAGATATGTGAAATTTTAGAGCTATATGAGATAGGTTCGACACTTTGAATATTGAAGTGATTAAACACAAGCTCAAAATTTCTTTTTACTCTTGGCCAGTGTTTTAGGGATTTATGTGGACTCGATTCCTAACTTTTCAGCCCTCGAAGCTGTAAAAGCTTCAATGTCTACCTCTCTTATATGTAGCTGTTCTCTCATCTTAAAGACTACCTTAGGGCAGTAAATTCTGTTGTTAGAATTCTGCACTGATAATGCAGTCTTAGAGCAGAATTTAGAAGAATGAATATTGGTTTAGGCTTTCTCAGCTAAAAGAAAAGGATATCTGCTTTCCTGTATGGGATTTGCTTCACGGAAAAGAACATGGGTTTGTTAAAATAGAAGATAGCAGTTCTTTGGCTCTGAGACTTGTTGGCTTATTGTCAAGTCTGTGACATGTCATCATCTCTCCCTTCTCCCTCCCTCATTACATTCCTTGTAATGATGTTACATTAGCTGGACTGAGCTCCCCGATGAAAGGATTTGAAATGTGAATTTGAGATTAATTGGTTGCTACAATGCTTAAACAAGTGTAGATTACTACAGTGTAGCACGGCTGTTCTAGAAAATGGTTCTATAACAAAGCTTATAGCTTCTCTGCTTTCCCACCGAGTATTTTAAGTACTGTCTACTTTGATTATAGAAAGAATCAAAAAGGAGCAGATGGAAAAAATGTTTAAGTTAAACTGAAAATTATATTGTGTCCTATTATATGTGTGTGTGTGTATTTTAAAAATGAATCTTTAGAAGTACTGAATGATGACTTTCCCTCTCAAAATTGGAGTAGAGGTGTTGGTAAGGCTGTTCCTTTCTGAATTACTAGAGGTGGGAGGGATCTGGTACACTTCCACTTGGCAGTTTCTTTCCTTTATTTTCAAGTGGTTTGTCAGATTATTGTAAACTTTGTTTACCACAGTGGGATTGAAATGACTGCAGTGATGTCATGCAAGAATTCCACCTTGAGTAAATAATTTAAAGTCCCAAGTCATTGTCTTCAAAGTAAAAGTATTTTCAATGTTAATGCAAGATAAATAATTAACAAGCCTAAGCAAATCAGAAGAAAAAGCCATAAGATTACATGGTCATTAAAAAGTGAACTAGGGGAATAATGTGACTTAACTTTTATCTTTAGTGTAACCTGTTGATAAAGGTATTGAAAAGAGTTACAAATAACTTAGAATTTACATTATTCGTTTTGTTTAAAAAGGTAAAATGTGATTCAAATAACTTCTCTCCTGGTTGTGTAGACTGAAAAAGAATCTTTCTCAGGCAAGTGACTTCGATGCAAGCTGTCATTTAACCTTTTCTACTTCTCTTTCTCTTCCATTCCCTTTCCTTGCCCCTTTCATACAAACTGAAAACAAAAACCCTACTTTTTTTAGTTTGCAAAGGAAACCTGCCATATGAGAACCAGGAATAAACTGATGAACTGACATCTCCCTGAGTCTGAAGATAAACTGCTTGAATTCTTTCATTGCATTAAAAGGGAGAGAAGAATAGGTGACTGTGAGATGATAGTCACCATCGAGAGACAGATTCCCTGGAGAGCTACCTCAAGCTCATTAAGTGAAAGAATTACTGTAGGGGACGTCATACAGGAAATCATCCAACGCAGAGAGAGGTTTTTATTTCTTGGACAAAGGGAAGAATGACTCTAACATTGGTGCCATGATGCCACTCCAACGGGAAGCTCCCTCTGGGGAAAGAGGAAGATAACACATATTGACATCACTGGAGGAATTTGAGTGCTGTAGGATTCATTTAATTAACAAATTGATTACAAATTGAATGGCATGGATTTACCAGAAGTTTTTCTCCCTACATCATGGGAAGGATTATATTACTGGAATGTGTTTGGGGATAGTGTTGACTGGACGTATGCATTTCAGGTGGGAGGAAATCAGGCTTTCAGATCATGTTGATATGGTGTATCTGGACAGCAAGAAGCAAGGCAGAATTCACCATGGCTTGACGCTCCAAGAGGCAGTGATTTTTGTTAAATGTGTTGAGCAGAGTTTTTCCTTAAATACATGAATAATTATTTTTCCTAATTCTATATTACACGATTTGTTTATAAACTTATGTTTCCTAAAACTTGTCATTTTTTTTCATTCTTCTTTCAGCCAAAAATGCTGCATGCAGCTATTTTAAAGATGCTGGTTCTAGATGGTGAATCAGTCTATACCTTGACTTCTTACCCTATTTTGCTGCTTATAGCCAGGATAATCCTTGTGAATTCAAGACACAAACTTGCATCTCTTCAGGTAAGAAATATGTGACTAATGATTATGACTGCCAGCTACTCATTAATTGATCTCTCATTCTTTTTTTCATACCTCATTGAATCAGTGTAACTTCCATTTCTTTTCCTGTAGCTCTGGGTTTTTTCCCTCTAAGAAACAGTTCAGACAAAGTGATTACAATTAAATGCCAAGTATCTTTTTCTTAAAGGTAAGCTACTTTCTCACTGTCTTCCCCAAAAAAGAAGAAAAATGCCTCCATTACCTGGAAAAATTAGAAAATTTAATAGGAAGCAACTTTTTAAAAAGACACATACTTTGTGACATTGTTTGAGGGGTGGTAGGACGAATGCCCTGTAACGCAGCATACATATATTATGTCCTTTTTAACAAGCTTTGGGATACTGTTAACCATTACTGTATGAATTCTAAGCCATGCGTTCTAGACACCAAGGAAGTCCTCTCTTTTGCTTGTCATTGACCTCTACCTCTTCTGCAGGTATCTATGTGGAAGCTACCTTAATTTTCTGTTGTGCTTGTACTTCAAAAACAAGACGATATGATGAACCTCTTCTCAAGAGGGTTTTTGTCTCTACCTCCTTTGTAGTTTAGCAGCCGGCTGGTTGGTAGCAGGACTCTCTGGAGCTGGGGGACTTCTAACAGCAGCAATTTCTCTTTATTGCATTCCAGTTGAACAGAATTTGGCTGGAGATCAAATTGCCACATGGTCCCTTTATGCTTGGCTGACAACATCCATTCCCAGCTGGGTCTTTGTATGAGTGATGAATTAAACTGTGTGGGAGATGTTGGCTGTAGTGTATTTCTGGAAGCCAAGCTCTTCCATCGTTTTCCCTGTTATTCACAGATGAGTGTTGTTGAATTTCAGCAATTGGATCAGTCAGGGAGGCAGAAAATGTACCTGGTATAGAGAATTCCCTTGCGGCCTCCCCTCAGACTGACATAATGGGGGGCCACCTTCTACCCAGTGGAGGTTCAATTACTTGTGGCTACATCAAGTTTGGATAGTAGTTCAAAGGCAGCAACTGATAAAAACTACTTTCATCAACAGATCAATGCAGCAATTAAAGCTTGCCATTCTTTCTCATTTCAGCTTGATTCAAAGGAAGTCTCTTAATACCTTCGCTTCTTAAGATTAGTGCAAATAAATTTAAAACAGGGTAAAATGCTCTGAAATACATTATCCAAAGCATTAATAAAGCCCTGTTTTATTCAAAAATGCTATTGTACATGGAAGATTAAATGCTTAAAAATCATCCAAAAATTCTTAACTTGGCTCCCAAAAAACTAACATTGCTGATAAAATATTGTACAGAGCTCAGCTGGCTTACCTGAAACTTTATAAATATGTTCTCTCTGATTTTAAAATTTGAGTGGCAAGTATCAAGCCTCAGGAAATTGTATCATTTAGCTGGATACTCAGGTGTGTGGGAAAATGAATACTTCATTATATAAAGCTAAACTGAAGTAATTTGAAACTTCGTATTTAAATTGCCTTTAGGTTTCTAAATAAGTGATGAAATATTGGGATCTGACCTTTTTCACAAGGTCTGTTGTTTGTGTGCTTTTACTTTGTTCAGCTTGATATCAAAAGTCATCTTTCATTGCTTTTTGAAATAGATGCTGTTATTCTTTTTGATGGTTCCTTTCTAGGGACATTACAGTCAACTACATGTGATTGGTTTAGATGTTTTTGCTTGAATACTGTACAGCCCCTAGGTCGGTGTGATGTAAGCATACCTGTATAAAAAGTTCAGAAGATAGGTGACTCTGAGAAGCACTCAAACATCTGTTTCATAGAAAATGATTGGCGTGCTAGCAGTAGCACAATAACTAGTAATCATTAGAGCTTGTGTAGAGGTATGCCCTACGGTCACAGATGATAATCTTAAGTATAATTTCGAGAATACAATATTATGTTATCAATTAGCTTTTCCATGCATTTCCACCTGCTGCAGCTGGAGAGGGATAACATATGCTGGGAAACTCATGTTTTGTGTACACAGTTTTCTAAAATCAGGTATTTCCTGAGCTGTGCTTCAGCTGTGCTATAGAATGATTACTTAGTTCAGTAAGGTATTTGCCCTTCTGAAATTCCACATACAAACATTACTACTTTCAATTGTGATTGTTAGGTGTTCTCATGGCAGTTATGGTCCTCTTTCACCTCTCTGTCTCTTTCTACCCCCACGTGAAGAAATAAAAAAAGATTAAACAGAACAGGAAAAAATGCATAGAAGGGCAACACTGGATGATCAGAAATACTGAATGGCTTCCATACAAAAAATAACTAAGTAGTCTAGGACTCTTCAGGCTGGAAAGACTACTGAAGTGTGAGATCATGGCTGTCTATTAAAATCATGAATGTGACACTAAAGAAGATAAGTAGGAAACGGCTTTTTTTTTTTTGGTCTTTCTGTTAAAAGAATTAGGAGATATGAAATCAAAGTAGCAAGTGGCTGCTCCAAAATAAGCAACACGAGTATTTCTTTTATCTTCTGTTCACAGAGTTTATTACCAGATTGTGGTCCTAAAGGTTTGCAGGGTTCAAAGAGCAGGTAGAAAAATTAACAGAGGAAAAGCCCATCAAACTCCTAGAGTACTGTAGAGCTGCTTGAATATGTTCATCTTTATGCTAGGTTAGTACTCACTTTTTATATAAAACAACTATTTTGGTTGGGTTTGTATTTTTTAGAAATTGGAATAGAATAGATTACAAATCTGTATTTTAAAGCCACTTATCCTTTTTCTTTTTTTAAAAAGGATCTATACTTGTTATTAGCTTGAAGTATCCGTATTTTCTTTCAGACATTATCTTGGTGGACTCTAAGATATGTGAATATTCACCAGCAGTTGTTAGAGGAGAGATCACCTGAGCTATTTACTCTTGCCCAGACCTGTATGAAACAAGGTATGTTTCTAATTACTTGGTTTATTGACCTACAGCGTCATTTGTAAGATATCATGGGGGAGGGGAGTTTGTAGAGACAACTCTAGCAACATGATGGTTGTCAGATGCTTATGTAACTACAGAGAGTAGAGAGGGAACAGAATTCACTTAAATTGACATGGACTTGTATGGCACATGCTGTTTTTCAGACTTAAAGTTGAAAATGGGAATATGTGATTGTAGGCAAAGGTTTTCTTCCCCTGTGCTTAGCACTGTTAACTTATCACAAGCTCACTTGAAGCCATTCTGTACATTTTCATTCCTTATTTAATGGAGCTTATTTTGGCTTGAAAAGGGAGCGTCCTTGTTCTTCTGTATCTCTATGGGAGAGATAAACTTTTTTCCTGTTTTCTCTATCCCCACCTAAGTTTTGAGATTTGTTACCTCTCTCTCCATTATACGTAGAGAAAATAGACAATGTTACAACTAAATTGTGTAATATATATATATAGATGTTTACAAAAGCATAATGTAGAAAGTTAAAATGTCAAATACAATTATATTGCTAGGGATTTTTTCCAAGAGGAACAAACTCTTATATAGACTGTTACTATTGTTTGCTACAGCAACTGATAAAGCTGGGAAAGGAGGCAAGCTTTTATGTACATTGGCCCCTCACTTTAGCTAAAGGTTCTTCAATTAACTTCACAAACCTGAAATTCCCAACCAATTACACTTAAGAAATTTTCTATTGCATTTAGAGATGAATTGTCATGCATGTCTTATTTTGACAAAGGAGGCAATCTTAAATGCTGAAGTTTCAAGTCTCCCCTCTCCTACCACGCCTTAATGGAGCTTTTTTGACCTGAACCATATGTAGGTTCAGGCCAGGCAAATTATGTGTAAAATATGAAGTGGGTTTTCGTCTTCGTATAACTTCCAAATAGGTACCAAAGATGTTAGTACAGTAATGAAATTGAGCAGAGGATTTTACTGGGTCCTCTGCATTGAAGAAGCAGCTGACTTAATGCTCTTACTGGTTGCTAAAAGCACTGGAGTGGAAAGGTTTTGTTGCAATTGATGTAAACTGACTTTTGGGTTTTTTGTACTTTATTAGAGGATTTTGAACTAACTCTAGAATTAACTTGCACAGGTATGGGAATCTTAAGATTAAATTCTACTTACTCCTTAATCTGTAATTTTAAAATCTCTAGTTCTTGGGAAGTTGGAAGTGTTGCTGTTTTGATGCATATATTAGAAAGTAATTGACAGGTGTGATTTAAGCACATCATGATAAATTACTTGGCTTGTTAATTTATGGGCTGAGGACTGGGGATTGGGGTTGGATTTTAGCAGGTGCAAAGAATTAAATCTAAGTTCCATTTTTAATTTCCAAATTAAATTATAACAAATTGAGTGTTACTTCAAAAATGGATGTTGTCAGTGTAGTGGAGTTAGTCTTACAAGTTTAGCCTGTTTAAATGCTTGTATTGAAAATAAAAATTCCTTAAAATGTGACTTCCAAGATATGTTGTAAAAGCTAACCTCCCACTTACTTCTCATAGCCAGTTTAAACACTGTGTTGCGTAGAGGTGGTTAACTGTTCCAGAGAGGGTTTTTTTGCTTAGTTTGATGCAAACTAACCCTCCGGAGAGGGTTAGTTAAAAAAAACCCCAAAAGTCTTTTGAGGCAAAATTGTTGTTGCTTAGTTTTAATGTAGTAAGGCTTGAATATTTTTGTGTTAGGTTGTACAGTACTTCTAGAATGTATATTTTCTAAATATTTACCTAAAAATATCTATAAATTTTATATTATGAAACAAATGGTGCTGGTGTGCTTCATTCACATAAGGAAAGTTAAGGAGATATGTTTGTAATATTTGTTTAAAAAAAGCTTAGAAACTAAGTAGTCTTCTGCTCATTTCTAGATAATTTTTTTGTTGTTCTGAGTATGTGTTCCAGAGATGCCCAGCATCAAAGATGTTTAGATACCACTGGTTTTGCATTTCTATTAGAGTACTGCAATTCTTGTTTGACAGTTTAGTTTTATTATGTTGACTTTGGAGTAGGCAGAGTACATGAAAACATTTTTGGGTTCTGTTAAGTAGATAAAATCTATAATAGAGAAATAGAGAAAAAGCACACTTTTTCTTCTTGGAAATACCTAAAAACTTGGAACAAAACTGAAAAAGAAGTAATCATAAAAATTAATTAAAATTCATTGACTAGGTGATGCTGGGTAGAGATACAGTAGTTTGTGCAGCTTTGATCTGTGTAGAGGATGCTGCTACATATGCACAGATACTAAATAAGTACTAAGATGTCTGTTTTCAGTCACCTGTTTTGAGACTCCTGAATATGGTTTCCAGAGAAGATGGTGTAAAGTACACTTGAATCTGTAGTGAGTTTTTCCAGGCAGGTTTTGCTGCCTGCTGCCTCTAACAGTTTATTTACTTTCTAATTAAAGCCATCTGGTATTTCAAACAAGTACCTTCATATTCCATAAAATAAATACTTAATAAACCTTTTAAATAGTCTTTGATTAGGGCTTGAAAAACCCACTTGCTTGTTCTGTATCAACTTGACTAGAAAACTTTGTCTTAATTACTAGAGAAAAAGACCTTCAAATTCAGGAGAAATTACCTTTTCTATTTAAAATACATTGTTCTCAAGTGTAAAGTCAGCATCATCACCTGGACACAAGACAGCTGCAGTGATTCCCTGCTGTTCTGAAGCAGCTGTTGTGCAAAACCAACAGGGCTTAGCACAGTTTCCCATCCATTTGGCCCTGTGCCAAACATGGTATGGGATGCCAGAGGGGTGTCTTAAGTTTGGGACATCAGTGCTTCTGTGCAGCTACATCAATACTAATAATGATGTGAAGCTTTCCACAAAGGTCCTTGAAGTCTCAAATGCCTAAACTTACCAAGTTTTGCGATTAGCACTGTAAGTAAATGATGTTCAGATAGGGAGTGGTAAGACCATTCTTGATGTATCACTTTAGTTCGTTATAGCAATATATATGGTTTTAGCACAAGTAATTTTATATTCAGATCACTGAAACTTGTTAGCTATGGAAAATCAAGAAGCAATGTATGATTATAGACTATAACCTGTTTGTTTTTTTTTTCTTTGAATCAAAATCATTCAATTGGAAAGTTGCATTTTTGTGTGGTTTCCACATGTGTACCTGCACATTCAGTATCTTGTAAGCTTTGTTGCACTGACAGTGGCCCTTCAGGATTTAGTGGCTCAAACTATGAGAAAGAGTCAATGCAAATCTATGTTTGCATTTGTATAAAACCCTCAGTGCATTTTTGAGTGCTTTTAATAATATCTCATAGAAAACTCCATTTTATTTTTTCCTTATATAAATAGGATTTTTTTTCCTTTGGGAAACCATCAGAGTGGCATTGTATATGTATAGTGTGTGAAAAGCAGGTAAAGATGGCAGATGTCCTAAATAATTTACTGAAATTTTTTTACAAAGCCTTTGTTAGAAAGGCGAATGTTTTATGGTCCTCTGGGCATTATTCTCTTTTTTAAAAAGAGAATGTGCTTAATGATAAATATAGACAGAAGTATTAAACCTCAGATCCTTTCTTAACGAAAAGTATACATTACTTAAATGTGAGGTTAACATTCAGCTAACTTCCTCAATTTTGAAGTAATGTGTTTGAAATAGGCTTTGTGTTAAAAGCAGGGATTAAGTTGCACAGACTTTGTTTTTAAATAGTTATAGTCTCCTGAGGTTTTTTTTAAGGATTAAGTTGTAGCCTGCTGCATTCTGTATCCTACTTTAGTTGGAAACCATTGGAGTAATATTTTTAAGTTACCAATTTGCTTTCATTAAACAAAATCTCTAAATTCAGACTTTGAAAAAAGTTACGTTACAAGGCAGGATTTATCCATGCAAATTCTTATTTACTGAATTAAAAAAGGTGTGTAAAAATATGTTCAGACTTAGCAGCTTTCTATATTAATTGAAAGATTTTGAGGATTAACAAGCACTAAAAAAAAAAGCCTAGGAGGTTTAAACAATAAAATCTGTTCAGGCTAGAGTTGACTGCCAGTCTCTAAATTCAAAGGTCAGAGAAAAATGTTTTAAAAAATCCTTGATAATATTAGTTTTTCATATAGTAAGACTTTTTACTAATCTTAATAAAGCATGTTTGAAAAATTAAGCATCCATTAAGTAACACAGCATCTATGTTAATCTTCGGTACCACTCTTTTTAGGTAATGTGATACTGTGAGCTTTTAAAGAACTTTATTATGTAAATATTTTCTGGCAAAATAAAGAAATAAAGCCCAAAGCAAAAAACCAATTCCATTTAAGAATAAATCACGTGAATTGTGTTCAACTTAGTGGTCTGTATTTTACTATGCAAGAATATTCTTTTGTCATTTACTGTATTTTGGTAGATAGAATTAAATACATAAGAAATACAAATGCTTCTATGCTGGATGAAAAAATATCAAGTCTTCTTTCCTAAAGATTTCAGATTTATTTATGAAGGTATTTTCTCCTGTTCAGAGGGAGAACATGATCTTTATCACTCAGCAAATCAGTAACTATAAAAAAAAAACCAAACCAAAAGAAAAACAAAGCAGAAAACCAAACCAAAACAAAAAACCACACACACAAACAAAAAACCAAACAAACAGAAAACCCCTAAAAAGTTCTAAGTCCCCATTCAATGCTCAATCTGCTGGTGAAACTTCCTCATTTGAAGCCTGCTACTTAAGGAGGGTTTTACTTCAAAATCCTGTATTCTGAGTTCCTATGTTCTTTAGCAGGTCCAAGACAATTAGAGTTGTTTATTTCCTGCAAGAGTAACATATCCCAATTCAGCTTTGCTGTAAAATAGAAGCGAAGGTTAAACTTTTGCTTGTTCTAGTAGTAATTCTTAGATATAAAACTTGAAAAATGCTTTAAATAGTGCATATCTTTTATACACTGACTGTGGATTTTTAAACGTGTGTAGGTGTAAAGGACAACGGGCCTGCTTTAAACATAACAGACTTTCTCTCCTGGTATTTTAAATATATTTTTAAAATATCATTCTCCCAGACTGCATCCTGATAGCTTTTCTTTTTCTTAATTTGCAGTGACAGAAGCAGAAACTTTGTTCACAGGTGGTGAGAGCTGGCACTTAGCAGTTCAGTTCCATCTTGAGTGTGCCTATACATTTTTGTATTACTATGAGTATAAAAAAGCTAAACAATGTTTCAATACGGCTAAAGACATAACGAAACTGCAGATTAATCTTACAGGTAAGTTTTGCTTGTACAGTCTATGAGGATGGTTGGTTGAAGCAAACTAACCTATAGTTTGTTGGGATTTGATTTGGTTTTTTAACATATCCAAGTAAAAAAGAACTATACTTTGAAAAATCTTGATTTTTAACAGGTAGGACTTATTTGTCTTCTAAGAATTAACATTGCTTGGAAAAGGGAAGGGAAATACGCTATCTAGTTACAATATCATCCCTAATATGGATGTCTGAGCAGCTGTGGTATTACGATCCTTCCTTCTCGTGTTTCATATCGAATTCTAGGTCTCATTGTCTCTGTTATGGGACTCCTGAAACTAGTTGGTGTCATGATGAATAATTTTGTTTGTTTGTTTGGAGACACTTATAAAGAAGTCTGCATGATGATTTGATGCAGTCTTTCACCTTTTATGCCACTAGCCTAGATCTGCTCTGTGTAAATAGCATTTAAAAGTCACTTCCAGGACTGTTGTTATCACAGGAAATAAGTAGAAAAGTCAAATTTCTGATGAACATAAATATCAAGGATTCAATCACTATGGAGGCTTTATAATTATCCTTTCAGAACCTGTTCTTTGGAGTCGGGCAGGTCAGATTGCTGCACATGCAACTTCATTTAAAATTACATGTATAAATATGGGACTAGGTAATCAAAATGACGCAAGATGCACACCTCCTCTGTGTGAGAACTTTTGATTGTGCCTGAGTAGAAACGCAAAAACCTTCATATAGTTTTTTCTATGGAGTTATTAGTGGAAAGGACTAAGGAACTGAAACTTGCAGCCTCCTTACCAATTATACCACTGTATGTGACAAGGCTAGCTGTTCCTTTATATTTAGATTGGAGTTGCAGCAACCCCTGCTGATATCCTGAGTCAGTTTAATATTTAAAAACCAACAAACAAAAACCAACAAACAAAAACTCTAAACAAACAAAAAAAACCCACTTCCCCCCCCCCCCCAAAAAAACCAACCCCAAACCAAAAAAAACCCCAAACCACAAAACCAAACAACTTTTGTGGAACTCCATGCTCATTTCTTCAACGGTTTTAAAGGTTTACTTTGAAAATCTGTAATGAAAATCTTGTGGCATAATGTCTTTGCATAACTATGAATTGATTATATTCAATGGTATCTGCTTAAAACATAGCAGTAATTTCCATATATTTGTTTGAAGGAATTCCATGCATTTCAATTGATCCTACCCTTTTTTCCTATGTACAATATGTACTGTATGTGTGACATGTTCCATGTGTGGCATGTACTGCAAATTTTATATTATAAGGTAATTTTGTTTAAGATTAACCTAAACTTTTCTTGTTTTTTATTAAAAACATCAGTGCCTGTGATGATCTCAAGCTATAAAAATTCAATTAACTAAGAACAAGTAAAATCAAAGTGGCAGGTGGCTATTCACCAATATTCCTCAAATTACAGCTACATGTTGGATTTTTTTTCCCTTTAAAGGAGATCTTTAGATTTTGGATTAATAATTTCCTTAAATCTAACCTATGAAAAAACCTCTTTTTTGAGGGGGGAAAAAAAAAGTTTGGATGCAGTGGAATTATTTGTATTTTTGGTTACTTTACCAAGAGGTTATGTTAGTCCCAGAGAGAGACTGGTGATACGGTCTCTTGGAAAAATGTTGTGAAACTCCTAGAAGTTCTCTGGTTTATCTCCATAAATCTATTAGAGTATTTATGAAGGATGTCTAACCTGAAGGCAAATGAACTGAACTGAACATGTGGGAATTGTTGGCATTCTAGACAAATTCATTTGACATGCATGTTTTGGTTAAATGGAAGGAATGTTACATCATCAAAAAAGACTTTGCTTTAATGTAAAAATTCAACCTCTAGCAAAGACATTTTTAAGACTTTTGGAAGGAATTTCCTTTTTAGGAAAGGATTTAAAGAGGTTTTTATTCTTTAGTGGTTGTAGTCCTTATTAGTTGAACATTTTATTACGGCATGGAAATGTAAGCTGTTCTTAGAGAATTTAGAACCAATGATTTCCAAAGTTACTGTAGAAATGTGTGAATAAATCATACTTGTTTTGGCTTGTGTACTTTAAGTCCCATTAATCCAGGTCTGTGCTGTATTCATCACTTATTAAAAAACATCCTTATGTTCCTCACAATGAGTCACAACCATCAATAACTTCACAAAACAATTTCCAGTAAAAGAGAAGACTGGTGCTTCTTGCGTATAAATTCACTAAAATGAAGGGTGGTAATCCAAAATAAATTTAAGATCAACAGATCTGGAGGATTAATAATACTGAACTGAGATCTGCATATTGTCTGCTTATTGTTTTCATGCCTAGTAATGCATGCCTGGGAACTTTTAATATGGAACAGAAAGTAAAGTCTCTGTATAGATTCCCTCTCTTTTGTGATGATATGTGGTGGTGTAAAGCAAGCACATTTTTCCTCCCAGCTTAAAAACATCTGATATATATTTTCCAAATAAAAAAGATTTTGTCCCTGTAGTAGCAAAGAATTCTTTGCTTAAAAAAATGGGGTGGGGAGTGTGTGCATCTCAGAGCATAAACAAATCACAGTTTCTGGGTGGTAGCAAGTAAATGTGTTGGTAACCAGCATAACTCAGCAAGTGTTTTATTCAGCTGTTTAAGCAGTAAGACATAACAGGAAGTGAATTGCAGCATAATGATTTTCAAGCATTATTAAAATTGAGAACTGAGTGCTACTGTGTAAAATTAGTATGAATCATCGCCCAGTATTTCTCTGTGTGTGTGTCTTTTCTCTTCAGTGTGCCTTGCGATTTTAAGGTGATATTTTTTAGACCTTTTTCATTTCTTCATAAACTCTTAACACAGGGTGTTCACATTAAAAGGGGTGTTTGGCAGAAAAGGAGAAATCAGTTTAATTTCTGGTTTCCCTACTGCTCTCTTTCCATCTCCAAGAAGAACAGGGGGTGACTGCTATTTCAGTGTCTGTGCCAGGTCATTCTTACTGACAATAGCCTTATCCTCAGGCCTTTGTCACATGAGCAGTCAGTCATCTTTACCTCAAAGATTTTTATGTCCTGCAAAATTTTCAAAAATATAATGAAATTAAGAACGTGATCTTAATTGTTTCTGTAAAAGCAACAGTGGATCAGTATTCAGTCCTCCGTTTCTGTTATTGGACTTTTCACAGTTCACATTATCTGAGCATTGTATCGTAGTAGTAATAAGCAAGCAAACCTCCAAATTTTATAGAGTAATTTTTAGCTCCATTTTGTCTCTGGTTAGGATTCTGTTACTCTAAGTTACCATCCTGAAATTGTTCTATGATTTCTGATTGCAGCTTGCTAACAGAGGAAGAACAGACATGTTTTTCTTTTCAGTTTGGTATAAATGTTAATTGCCACCTTAAAAACTAGTAAAAGTTGTTTGAGGGTCAAATAAAGAACTGAGGAATTTCACACTGTGCATTCTGAATATTCATTAATTCAGTAGACAGCCTTCATTGGTTTGCTGCTTCACTCTCTCCCATGTTACTTTTACAGTGTCTTATGTACCATATTATCGTAACGTCAAGTCTGTGATCCCTCTTCATAGATCTAAGTCTTCAAATGAAGATTTGAAATATTTTAAATGATGGCCTGTAAGATATCATGGGATTTTAATTTGCCCAAATGTCTCCATTGTTGTCATTAATTTTTAGCAGCCAAATTGAACAATTGTTTGTGGTTTATTGCTAGGGAATGAGTAGGGAACTGATGAAACTTGATGACTATGAGTTTTCAAGAGACAATATGGTGGGTTATGGGTAATTTACCTAAAAGTGGCTTTACAAGACCTATCTAGCTGTGTTTGTATGTTTGTAACATGTATTTCTTTGTATGTCATAGCTAGCAGTGAGAACAGATGTAGTTTGCTGCAAAGAGATCAAGCAGAGTTAAACCACTGCTAAATTTCATAGGTTAATTCTCAATGTGTTTCTCTTTTTATTTTGCTTTTTTGTGAGCAACTTGCTAGTATATGATGGGATTACGGGTTTTTAGTGTTCATTAATATAAACTTATATTAATTTTCTTTAGGTGCTTTGGGGAAGAGAACACGATTTCAGGAAAAATACGTTGCACAGCTTATTTTGGATGTCCAAAGAACAGATGAATTCCTCCTTCCTCACAGTGAACTAAGTCCAGCTCCAACACCTCTAGAAAACTTAACAATGGTATGTATTTGAGAAGAATTGTTTTAATTTCTTAAAATGAAAATGTGCTGAAGCTTTTCTTGGGTGTCTGCAAGGGAAAAGTTTGTGGTACCTAGGAGAAACTTACGATTTCTGAAAGTTTTTAGAAAAGATGTGGGGCAGTCGTTTGCCTAATATTAAAGGACATGGGGTAAAACAACATATGACTGTCAGCAAGACAGATGTGGCTACTCAACTAAAAGCATGTTTGCAAGTACGATCTTCTACAGTTTATGTGTTAATTTCTAGTGCCTAAGAATGATGGAGTTAGGAAAACAGGTGAGACAGATTTTCAAAATAGCCTGCAAGGCATCACAGAAATGCAGATTCCTAAAGACTGACAGTCATGTTTAGTAACAGTGTGAAGGTAGGAATTATAAATTGCTTAACAACCACTGAATTGTTTTAGAATGGCATTTTTCCTTCATGAGGAGACGTTCTGGTTGGGATTTAACATTATTTGAACTTGCTAAAGAAGCCAGAGATAAATTGAGGCATTATGGTCCAAGATTTATTCTTCAGGTTGGAGAGCCTTTATAAAAAAAGGTTATGCCTTGATAGACTTCCAGGTCAAGCAGGGATCTTAAGCAAAAGAATTTGACAATACTTCTCTATTTCTAAATTGAATGCACAAATATCTTAGGAGACTATCCTAGCTTTTTTGTTTGTCCATTAATACATCCTTAGTGTTGTACTGGATTTGGTGAAAAGAGATTGACTGCATATATGTCACAACTTGTGCTTGATAGAACTATGTATAGCAACCCATTTAAGGATAGTGAGAACTCGGGGGAGGCGCCTTGGTGAGTGTCAGACTTAGTTGTAGACTTCAAGTCCAACTTACCTAGAACTAAATGATATGATGCATTGTTCTCAGAGGATCCCTAACTGGTATATTGTATGACTATTTGTTCCAGTTATTCACAACTTTCTGAATAATTTGCCTTTGTAGTCTATATCTGATAAGGACTGGAATAAAAATAATGACATCATTTCAATAAAAATGGCAACACTGTTTTAGGCTGTAGGTATAACCTGGAATGAAATATATTATCCTTGCTAACAAAATAATGTATTAATATCTCCTTTTCATGAACAGACCCAAAGCTGCTGAAGTAAGTTTAACGGAAAGTTTGAGAAAGAAAATTGGGATATTTGGAACCTTCAAAAATTAGTCATGCTTATGTTATCCACACTTTCCTACTAAAATTTTACTGAATGTATCTTGAAAATAATGCTAGAGAACGTAAGCACACCTACTCTTTCTGAAAAGTAAAAATATGACGCTAGAAAGGACTTGAAGTTCTGGCTACAAGGAGGGAGTTGAGTTTTGTGCAAGTCTCAGCAACTATGTCATATAATTCTGTTGTAAGTTACTTGGGCTGCCTATTAAGGAAAGTTAGGCTTTCTGTTCCCACAGTCTACTTGTGGGGGGAAAAAAAAATCAGAACCTTTTATTTCTGCATTCCGTGTGTGTCAGAAATTCTGAAAAATAATATTAGTAAAACCATGTGCTGCTTTGAGGAAAACCTGAGGTATTTCAAGTTCAGACATTTTATTAACATCATGTGTGAGTGTCCTGTCACAGGTATTAGACTAGGATTGACTAGGTAGACTTCCCAATTCATGTGTTTCTTTTGCCAGGTCTGGTCTCAAATTTGTCAGCCTTGAATGTATCTTGAAGTTCTTTTAGCTAAAATTGGAGTTAATGCTATTCTCCATCTGCCAAAAACTACTGACAACATCATTGCATCTCTGACTAAGTTTAGGCCAGATGCTTGATGTATCTTGTATACTTTTAAAAGACTATTCATGGAAAATGCATAGAAGCTAAGTCTTGAAGTGCTGAGAATCTCCACAGAGTTAACATGTGCATATGGAAAGCTAAAAGGTCTGTGATCATGCTGCATAATTATGGGGAAATTTTCTTGCCCTCTCCAGTGTTCTTATTTTACATCTGCCATTTGCAGATAAAGGAAAATGCTCTATTTGTCAAAAGATAGGAATTGCCCTGGAGGAGTGGGAAACTTCCTAAGAGAATTACAACTCTGCCAATATGTATAAAAGACCAAGTTGAGACTGGGCACACCTAATTTTCATCTCCTGTTTTGGAGTGCTTACTTCTATGGTCTTAAAGTTCTCCCCCTATTATTGTTCAGTAAGATGACTGAACAAGTTATTTTGCAATTAAGCGGTCAGTAATTTAATTCCATTAAAAATACAACTAATATAGCAATGTGACCGATTGTTGGACTGGTAGCTGGGCTGATTTCTGGTCAAGTGCTTCCTGCTTCCCTCTGGTGCTGAGCAGTTGTGTTATCTTAGATGGCACTAGAAGGAGAACTATTTGCATTTCAAAATAAATATTTGAGATTGTAAATTCAAAGCTTTGGTCACAGGTCAGCTTTCTTCAGAATAAATGATCTGAAAGCACACATTCAGTTAAACTGACGATATTTCTGTGAAAGGAAAACCTCCAGCTTGAGGTGGTGCATAACCACTCTTGATATGAAATGGTATGTTAAAATAGTTTGATTAGTTTTAAAAAATTCAGAGCTGTTTTTATGTTTTGGGGGAATGAGGAATTTCTTTTTAAATCTGGGAATGGAAGTCATGCTTTAAAACTGTCCTGGTTCTGG